ATTTAAACACAAAATCGTGGTAGATTCTTTTCACATTTCTTTTAAATATTGCTGCAAAATTATTAAAATAATGTTGCAAATCTATATTTTAACAATGTTTCTGAAGCATTGCATTGCAATATGTAATGTTGCAACTTTACTGCAATATTGCTGCAAGCTTCTGTGCTGTATGGGAATAGATCATGTTTTTTAGACATATTGTATATTGTAATTCATTTGTATTATATCTTGCGAATAGTTAATTTTATTTAAAACTGCATTTTTATAGTTACCATCCGTGTTTGATTATTTAAAGTGATGGTAAAACAGTTGGAAAAAAATGTAATTTTGTGGCAATATATATGATATAGTATTATATAAGTATTCATATACTTATTTATAAAGCACTTATATAATAAAAATCTTAATTTTAATAATGCATTATTCAAAGAAATTGCAAATTTATGTTAAAAGTCGATAACATATATATATCGTCGCTCTGCAATTTTCTACAATTCTCTGCCCTCCGGGTCCTTTGACTGGCACGAAAATTTATCCAGGGCTGTCGGTCTTTAAGAGTATCTCGTAGAATGTCAATGCTATCGATTACTGAATCCCTGTCCAGCTGGCTCCTCCACCACGCAGGAATAAAAAAATTAATAGCTCAAAATTAAGAGCTATTTATGAGCTTTCAAACCCCGCAAGTTAAAATTTTTTTAAGAGCTCGACTGCGTTAGCAGGAATTTTAATATAAAGGTGGGCCGAAGGCTGAGTAGACATCCACTCAGTCCCCTCCACCCCTTACAATTAACAGCAGGGAATTGATCATGGGCGCATAGGAGTTTTTTATGAGCTCTTAAATCAGTGTATAGTTTTGATTTTGAAGCTTTATCCCTTATTCTCGAAACAATCCCAAAACTAGTTTAAGCAGCTCAAGAGATAATACTCAGACAAAAAAGCATTAAATCTATTTAAATCTACAATTTTATTTAACCATATACTTCCAACATTAATGTGCGACAAAAATATATAACGGTACATTTTATTTTTTAGCAATAATTCCTTAGCAGCTGGAAAATCCCTTACGTTTGCTGATCAAGAAAGAACTGTGCTTAAAAATCGATAAATAAATTATTTCATACTGGAAAGTTATCTGTTGATTTACAAGCTCTCAAAATATGCATAAATCGATTTTCGATCTGCAACCCCTTGGCAGGGAAATCACCTCTTACGTTCGGCGATTAAGAGAGAACTGTGCTTAAATATCGATAAATAAATTATTTCCTGACGGAAAGTCATTTGGAGATTATATTGGATCATATGAAGCAAAAGCTTGGCGTGCCCGGATTGTATTAATTAATGAGATATATGTATATATTGGACACGCTAAGTTTTTGCTTCATATGATTCAATATGATCTCCAAATTACTTTCCAATATGAAGTAATTTATTTATTGATATTTAAGCACAGTTCCCTCTCAATCGCCAAACGTAAGGGGTAGTTTCCTTGCTAAGGGGTTACTGCTAAGAAATAAAATATTATATATTTTTGTCGCACATTAATGTTGGAAGTATATGGTTAAATAAAATTGTAGATTTAATGCTTTTTTCTCGGAGTTATCTCTTAAGCTTAAACTAGTTTTGGAGTTGTTTCAAGAATAAGGGATGGAGGATCAAAATCAAAACTGCACTAATTTAAGAGCTCATAAAGAGCTCCTAATTATGCGTCCATGATCAATTTCCTGCTGTTAATTGTAAGGGGCGGGGGGGGTTGAGTGGACGTCCGCTCAGCCCCCCACCTTTATATCAAAATTCCTGCTAACGCAGTCGAGCTTAAAATTTTTAACTTGCGGAGTTTGAAAGCTCATAAATAGCTCTTAATATTGAGCTATTAATTTTTTTATTCCTGCGTGATGGAGGGGCAAGCTGGACAGGGGTGATTATTGATATAAATTTATGATTGTTAATATAAAATATATTCAAATCTAATATTATATGCTATAAAATATGTTCCAATAATTTTTTCATTAATCCAATCGTTTTTTTCATACGGGAATATATTTTAATTATTTAATATAGAGTTTCACTGCATGTGCGTCCGCAGGGGGAGGCAAGAAGGGGCATTTGCCCTCCCATGAAATCAAACGAATATAAAAAAAATTCAGAATTTGCTCTTTTATTTTTACAAATAATAAATATGTTTGTCAAATGCGAAAGAGCTAAAATACAACACAAGTATACAACGTTTGCAGGACATTTGCTTCTCGCGGAAGTAGTCCAGAAAAATTAAATTTTTTCTGCGGAAAAATTAGAAGCTAGCTAAATATTAACATGGACCTTTATTTCGTCGTTCTAAACAATATCTCAAAAGTCCCGATCGATGCGAACCCTGCTTAAAATTTTATCGAAGGTTAAAGATAAAAAAACCAGTTTTTCGCGAATATCTCGAAATCTATTGGTTCTACGGTAAAAATAGTTATTATGAAATTTGTAGATTAGAAAATTATCTACAAAAAAACTTAGATAAGTTATTTTCGTAAGAGCAACTGTTTCCGTGTACTACGGCTTCGAAGTTTAAAAAGTCATGTTCCTGACAATGAGAGGTAAAATGCAATCCTTTCCACTTTAGAGGTAGAATACTAAGCGCGTTTTTTTTTTAATGTAATCTCCCCTGTAGGCCTAAATCCACGATGTTTTTTTTTGAAGAAAAAATAAAAAATTATTATAACTGTTGAGCAATGCAAGCTAATTTTCCTGCAACCACAGTTTACTGCACAGTCTTTGGAGCAATTTTTGTTTGGCTTTTCCAAGTTTAAGGAAATAAATTTCTTTATTAGCAAGAGTACATGCAATTAGAAGTACTAAAAATCAATGTCTTTGCCAACAACAATTATGCTCTTATTTGTATCAGTCTAATAACGACCTCCAAACAGAATAACAGAATTATTATTTGGCTGTTGTTAGTTTTCGACGGACGTGCCTAGTTGATATTTGTAAAAATATTCAAAATTTCGTTATTAAAAAGACTAAAAATGAAATAAATGTGCTTCGTAATTCGTATGCGATAAATCGCTATCGGAAAGTTTTCATTATTTATTCTATTTTCGTACTATGCTTTGCTTAAAATATCATGAGCATAAAATCGAAAACAGGTCTATTGGAACGCATTCTACTTTTAATTATTTCTTTCAGCACTCGCGTCTCTTAAAGTTTTTATTCTATGTTCAACAAAAACAGTTGACCTTTCGATATAGCGATTTACTGCGTACGAAGCATATTTCTTCCATTTTTAGTCTTTTTAATAACGAAATTTTGAATATTTTTACAAAAATTAACTAGGCACGTCCGTCGAAAACTATAAGAATAGCCAAATAATAATTCTGTTATTTTGTTTGGAGATTTAGACTGATACAAATAAGAGCATTGTTGTTGGCAAAGACATTGCTCTTTAGTACTTCTAATAGCATGTACTCTTGCTAATAAAGAAATTTATTTCCTTAAACCTGGAAAAGCCAAATAAAAATTGCTCCAAAGGAGCTGTGAAGTAAATTGTGGCTGCAGGAAAATTAGCTTGCATTGCTGAGCAGTTATAATAATTTTTTATTCTCTCTTCTAAAAAACATCGTGGATTAGGGCTACAAGAGAGATTACATTTTAAAAAATCGCGCTTAGTACTCTAAAGTGGAAAGGAGTGCATTGTACCTCACATTGCCAGAAGCATGACTTTTTAAACTTCGAAGCTGTAGAGTACACGGAAATGAAAATAACTCATCTGAGCTTTTTTATAGAGAATTTTCTAATGTACAAATATCAAAATAACTATTTTTACCGTAGAACCAATAGATTTTGAGATATTTGCGAAAAACTTTTTTTTTAACCTTTGACCTTCTATAAAATTTTAAGCAGGGATTACATCGATGGGGACTTTTGAAATATTGTTTAGAACGACGAAATAAAGATCCATGCTAAAATTCAGCTAGCTGCTAATTTTTCCGCAGATTTGTCATATTTTTGTCTAATTTGCTTGGACTATAGTTCGTATTAAAAATTTGGATCATGCCCCCCTCTAGAAAAAATTCGTGGACAGACGCCCTTGTCCACATGTATATAAAACATTTTATTATATATACAGGATGTTCCAGAATTCCTATTACACACTTCTAGAGGTTGTAGAGGGGATTTACAAGGGGAACGCCAAACATGGCCCCCTCCGATTTGGCTAATAAATTTTATACATATAAGAGTTCACCCCTCCCACTAATTCGTCCTAAAAGAATATGACGCACCTCTCAAGCGTGATAAAAAGCGTTTAAAGATTTTCATGTTGGTAATGTACTTATCGGTAAGAGTGAGTCCGCAACAAGCAGCGTGGCATAACGAGTAAAGCATATATCCGACTGTAATGTTACATGTTGCTGGTT